GCGAGACTAGCTGTCATACCATGAGGAGGCTCATTGACATACATAGACATATACACTAGACTAGACCTCACCTTGGCTACGGCAGTTCATTGGAACGAATGCGTCAATAGAGCCGCCATCTTGAAACAAGGGAGCCCCTCCACTTTAATGCATCAGCGTCAATGTAGTAGACACAGGTCTAACGCAAATAAAATCACCATAAATCATCATGAATGCTATTTTTCTTGTTTTTTTGGTATGGTTCCAACGGTCAGACATGTATTTATCATTGATTCCAGAAAGAATTTTTTTTTTTTTTTTTTTTAAACATTCTTCCTAGTTCAGATTTCATCCGTGAACATCATACGCTGCACAAAAGTCCGCCACCATCAATTAATACGACGTAAAGGCAGAGATTAAGGCTAGTTACCTAGCTACTTCCTATGACAAGACCCCTGTTCCAAGATGGCGGCGGTTTTGACGCATGCTTAGAACCCCAAGGTGACGTCTTGGCCTTCACACCAATTGAGAACTCCATACTAGTGTCTGTATTGGAGGAGAATGTGAAGGAATGGAGGAGGAATGGGAACAGGACAGTTTACAGACATAACTGAAAGCATTTGTATCGCAAATCAACACTTTGGAAGTATAGGAGCATGGGAAAGCTTTGAATGATGGTAGATCTCAGTCAGTGACTCGGTTTACACAGCAGACTGCATGTTTTTCAGATCTGATCTTTAGGACTGACTGTTCATGCTGTTATCAGTCAAGTGATTAAATTGGATCTTTTTTTGTTCAGAGAGTGTAGTCAGTTTCCATTATCTACATCAGTTGCCATAGTAATGTCATAGACATCAGTCTCCAAGCCATAACGAGGATCTTATTGAAGAAATTCTGATTTTTAACTTTGCAAGCAAACGGATATTGTTTACAATAAGTTTGTATGGTTTAAGTTTGTGCACTGTTAATAAGGTTTGCCAGAAAATGCTAAGTCCTAAGAAACAAAAGCTAAAGCTTATGTTTAATTGATATAATTAATGGTCTAAGTGTTTCCACTTGATACAATGTGTTTTAATGTTTTGCAGTTGATATTCATTTTGAAGTATGAAGTATAATATCATAGAACACCACCACAAAGGACAGACATGTACCACATTTGACCATTTTTTTACTGGCTTTGCTTGGCATATTGCTTCACAAAATCAGCACACATAGCATAAATTAATGTTAGTAGAGCCACAAGTTCATTCTTTGTACATCTTTCATCCACCTGCAAAAAACACATAATAAATTAATAAATTAATTCACAAGCGACAACAGAAATGCAATACAGAAAAATCCACTCAATGAAAGACATTAGTAGTTTTCTCTCGTCTGCCCTGCTTTGGCCCCTTAAACTACAGCATAAGTTTTACTACAGCTCACACACACAAAGTATTATATTCATTTACTAGTACTCTCCCAGAACAGTACATTACATTTTATTTTCAGAATAGAAAAAGACATTAAGAAACCAATTCCAGCCTGTAAGTTCACTTAAACGTTAATGAACTGTTAAGGCCAATGCCAGTGCCACTAAATGTCCCACAAAGTTTAACATCATAAAATAAGGTCAGTCTCGTAAAGCACATTTTTAAACCGATGAAAGGATTTGGATCTAACAGACAATCTACGCAAGGTTTATTTAACAAGTCCAGACCACTTACAACCTCATATGCAAAGTTTAAACTAACTTAATACAAAATGGTTTTGGAATATGAAATGATGTCGAGTTCAAAGGCAAAAAAACCCTCCTAAACTGCTAGAACTGTAGTATTATTAATCGGAGGTCCCAGCCCACCATAAAATACTGAATGAAATGACAAATTCTTCTTGACTAAGAATGAATATGGCGCTTTTTTCCTTACCCCTATGCTTCAGCAAGCACATTTAAATATAATTGCATTTCTAGAATATCTCCCTTAACCTTAAATGATGCTAATTGTTATATCATCACGCATTTAGGCAGCTGAAAGAAATGCCTTCCTCCTCGTTTATAAATAATTAGCAAAACAGTGTTCTAACTCCACAGCTAAACCAATGTCTACAATGAAATAAATTATCACAGTTTAACAGTGTCTCATTTCTGTGCCCCTTCCTTTATGCTCCCTTATCCGAAATTGCTTAACACAACATGCTCCCTGCAAGAGTCCTTCCACTAATCTTAACAGGCATAAAGCAGGAGTGTCCAGTTTGCTGAAACCAGGAAAAGTTTATATTTGGAAGCCTTTTTGCTGTAATAACTGAGCGTTTGCAGATAAAGGCCCGTACACACCGGGACGAATTCATCTTGCCTTGCATCTTCCTCGTTTTATTTCTTCCAGGCTGTGTAGACGGCGACTTGGCGTACCTTCTTCGCCATTGCATGTGTGCTCGTCAAGACCGTTTTGTGTTTGAGCGCGCCCAAGTTGTGTTTTACTGTAACTTAAGAAGCTCCAAACACGTGAGCAAAAGCGCTAATCTCATTGGTCGGATAGTTTTTGACGCTGCGCGTCAAACTAAAAAAACGAACCCGAGGCGTTTTTTTTTAAATGACGCTTTTACGCGCCGGTGTGCACACTGCACAGTCACATTGGCGCCCTTTGTTTAGTCGAGGCGTTAAACGCCGGCGAATAACGCGCGCGAAATTCGTCCCGGTGTGAACAGGCAAGAGTGTTTTTACCTGTCCATACCCAGATAGCAAACTGACATTGAATCAACGTGGAAACGACGTCTCTCATGACATTGAAACAACGTTGATTTGCTCATCGAATTAACGTCCCAGATAGCAAACTGACATTGAATCAACGTGGAAATATGACATCGAAACAACGTTGATCTGACATTGTTTTGCTCATCGAATTAACGTTGAACCAACGTCAGACGCGTCATTCTTTCAAAACTAACGGAAAATCAACTTGAAATCAACGCGTTGTTTCAACGTTATGAAAGCAAACCAATTTTCGATTTTCATTTAGCTTTGAAGAATGCCGCGTCTGACGTTGGTTCAACGTTGAGCAAAATCAACGTTGTTTCAATGTCATGAGAGACGTCGTTTCCACGTTGATTCAATGTCAGTTTGCTGTCTGGGGTTGAACCAACGTCAGACGCGGCATTCTTCAAAGCTAAATGAAATAGAAAATTGGTTTGCTTTCATAACGTTGAAACAACGCGTTGATTTCAAGTTGATTTTCCGTTAGTTTTGAAAGAATGACGCATCTGACGTTGGTTCAACGTTAATTCGATGAGCAAAACAATGTCAGATCAACGTTGTTTCGATGTCATATTTCCACGTTGATTCAATGTCAGTCTGCTATCTGGGTAGGCCTACATACATCCCCTCTGACGAAAACATGTGAAGGAGATTAACAGATTTACATGTATTATTATACATATTTTTATGTAAGTTTGCTCTAACCTATTCCATAATGACAGCCAAGGAAGAGATGTATTATAGGGAAAGATGGACACATAATCCCTTATCAGATAGCAAGCCAAGTAAAACACTGTTCACTAAATACTTTGAAGTCTGTTAGGAGCCGTTTACTCAACACTTTCAACTAAATTCGTGAAACTTTTTGTGTTGTGGCCCTTTACATGACAACAGCGCTTTGGGGGTCATTATAAATACCATTATCGTCTCTGTGTAAAATGCTAAAACGTGAATTTGTGCAAACGGTGACATCATGCACGTGCGTATTACATGTTCAGTTTATAGGCGAATAGTGTTTCTTTACAAAGTGACATCGCCAACTACGGGCTTGGCAGCAGAATACAGCGTTTTCGCGGATCGTTTTGACAATGTTGTCATCGACACACGAAAAAAGTATCATTGTTGTGTAAATGTGCCCTTATGTGCCCAGTTGCCTTGAAAAAGTCTTTAGGGAGGATCTGTAACCATTCTGACATTGCTGGAAGCCTAAAGGAATAGTTCAACCTCAAAATTTTTTTTGACATCACTGATTTAGTCTCATCGCACCTAGAACAATAACTATAAAGGTAAGTATAACGATAACTGTATTGGCGTTCTGCCACTTTAAATGCTTAAGCTCTTGATTTTGATTGGCTGTCATTGTTTCTTTCATTTATCGGGTGAAAGTGATTCCAACAATGCCATTGGTGGTGGAGACTTTCCTTCTCACTGAATTAAGACGATTATTAAAACTGTATAGTTATAGTTCTTGTTATCATCCTTGCTGTGAACGAGCCTTTAGGTTTTTTGGGGGGAGATTATCGTGGCCACAAGAAATCACAATATTTTCACGATATCTACAGTAAGAATTTGTTCTCTCTTTTTTGGTAAATGAATCATACTCAAAATATGAGTGTAGGGAAGCAGAGAGAGTTTGTAACGATAACTATACAAATGCGAACAAAGATCTGAAAATGATCTGGAAGAACTTTTGTTAATCTGCACTTTATGTTTTCCGCAATCCCAAAAACTCCCACACTGGAGAGCAACCTTTTTTAGGTGTGTTTGTCGTCTTGTTATTTTCGTGATGGGTGGCAACCAGCATTAATGTGAAATACTGCCACCTACTGTGTTGGAGTGTCAACCTCAGTTACTGACACTGGATTATTTACGATATTGCCATATGTGCAGTATTAACATGAATATTTCTCTTTTTTTATCCACACTAGTACATTACACGCAAGGAAAAAAAAGAAGGCTAAGAATTTTGAATGACAGAATTTTCCTTTTTTGAGTGAACCATCTTTTTAAAGATCCCATTAATAAAAAATAAACGCATCTTTTGTTGTTGCATGCTACCTTTGAATTGACAATGCGTTATAGAAGCAAACTCTACACGTTCAGACCACCTCCTAAAATGATTTTGATTTGATTTAAAGGGGTCTAGCTATGCACTCTAAACAATGCTGGGTTGTTTTAACCCACAATTGGGTAAAATATGGGCAAACCCAAATGTTGTGTTAAAAATGTCATTTATTTTCATATATTTATTTAATTTTAACCCAACTTCAACTTGCACTTTCAACTGTACATTTTTTAATTACATTTTTAACCCAACATTTGGGTTTGTCCATATTTGACCCAAATTTGGGTTGAAATAACCTAGCATTTTTAAGAGTGCATTCACATATAACCCAATACTCATGTGAACCAAGCTTTGGGTTTGTCCATATTTGACCCAAATTTGGGTTGAAATAACCCAGCAGTTTTAAGAGTGCAATCACATATAAGCCAATACTCATTGTCAGACCAAGTGTGAAAACACCTAAATCTCTTAATGCAAAAACTACAAAAACTACAGAAAGAGTCTCTTTCTAACTTTTCCTACATTGGTTGACTAAAAATTGGAAAACAAGGAAAGTTCTCTTTGATGAATCTATAAAAAATTGCAATGGCAAGGCAGACCTCCATGATTTCAGAAAATCCTTTGTTTGAAGTGCTATTCTGCTTTTGTAACACTGTCAGAGTTGAAAGTGTGTAATTTCTGCACAACTAGTGCCACCAAACAGATTTGAGGTTCTCTGAACACTCGACCTGTATGCTATTGGCCAAACTAACGGCATTGGTTGAGCCAATGTAGCAATGTCAGGCTGGGTTGGGATACTCAAACGAACAGAGCAATGATAGAGTCACAGAGTATACATTTTTCACAGGGGATCAAACTACAAATGGCTGACTTAAACCGCTTTTCCATCATCGGTCAAAACAGTTCTCGTTGCTTAAGCGTTCCATTCCATGCCGATCCGGCCCGCCGGTACAGATATGGTTTCATTTTCCACTGTGGGGCTGATAACAGAGCTCTTTGGAATGTAATACAAACGCGTCAGTCGTTGCCTTGAGTTTACCGACGATATGAGATGTAAATAGCGACCACATGGAGGATGATCAGATATTTGTGTTTTAAACTTGTTCGCCGAGAATGGTTCGTAATCGTTCCGTACCAAACCAAGCAGAAGTGAAATTATAACCGTTGCTTACCATTCTTAGAACCATTCGGCCCAACCGGTGGAAAAGCAACTTTAAGTGTCTCAGACTTTTAAGCAGTAATGAAAGTATTTCAACATTGAATGTTTTGCACACGTTACCATTAACTAGTTTTAAATATGATTTCCCACATGTCAAATACCACAGAAGATTCACTACTTATAGTTCTTCGCTTACACTCACAGAGAGCAAGTAGCTAAAGTTTCGTTGCACTGAACTTTGAAAAGTCTAACATGCATGGCATGGCGGTCCAGGGGGTTCAGTGGGGGTTTTGTCTTCGAAAGGATCTATGGCTTTAGTTGGTGCATCATTCGCTATTTTGTCCCAGGCAAACCACCTTGGATCACGGTGTAACAACATTTCGAGTGACAGGGAGGAACATCATCGAGTGACATCATCAGGACTTGATGCCTTTAGCCGGCTCGGTTGACTGTCGCACATCTGTCCACTCCTGCATGGTGTTCTGAAGGGCCTGTGTCTTCTCTTTGTCCACTTGGACGTAGTCCACTTTTTCATCTGAGGTCACTGAAGAGGTGGACGGCTATAAGAAAGATAAACATATGTTATAGATAGGGCTGTCAAACGATTAACCGCGATTAATTGCATCCAAAATAAAAGTTTGTGTTTACATAAATAATGTGGGTGCACTCTGCATAATTATTTTATATATATATATATATATATATATATACACACACATGCTTGTATATATTTAAGAAATATTTTCATGTATATACTGTATATAGATTTATATGATTTATATTATATATAAATGTAAATATTTTATTTATAAATAATATTTTTTTCTTAAATTTACATGCATGTGTGTGTATTTATATATATACAAAATAATTATACAGAGTGCACCCACATATATTATGTAAACACAAACTTTTATTTTGGATGCGATTAATCGCGATTAATCGTTTGACAGCCCTAGTTATAGATTGTGAAAGGATGTGAAGCGATGCTATTTCCGCTGTAGTGGCTATTTGTCCATAAACTTAAACAAAGACAAAAGCAAAGCAAACCACCAAAGCAAAGTTATGTCCATACCAAGATTGAGTGTGAGGAGGTTTATTCACACAGTTAAGCAAGCTCACAGACATTTCTGCTGCCTCTCTCCCGCTGGTAAAAACCATATGCCCTCGTGCCTGACGTACTTCCCACCTTGACCTACTTATGCAAATGAACGTAACACCATGTGACCAATAAACGAAAATACAAGTAAAGCATTAAGACAAAATAAACCAAATTAACTTTAACAAGAAAAGAAAATAAATAAATTAGACTATAAATTAACTTAAGCCCAAAATAAACAAAAATAGAAATATAGCTCCAACACCCGCCATATATGCAATTATCCGGCTTTTCGTGTTTTCAATGTTATACAGTAGGGGGGCGCTATTACGCATCTTTTGAAAGAGTACAGAATCTGTGGATCAAAACACATGTGAAGAAGAAGCAGAAACAAGCCATTTAATATGTAAGCAGATGGACATGTAAAATAACGCGATCATCAACATTAAACAGCATATAAATAAAAAGTGCTGTTGAAATGTCGACCCAGGACGAGATATAGCACTGTGAAGCTTTGATGGACCCGTCTCGATTTACTCCGTCTATGTTTTGATCATCGCTCTGAATCTGATCCCTTAGATAAAAACTTGATTTTCTCTGCTTTTTTCCTCAAAATGTTGCTTTTTTATGAATCTTACCCACATTCAAGTGTTGATAAAAAGAGAATGCATTAGGCTATTATAACAAGGTCTGTTATTTCTATTGATATATTGCATGTTTAGATATTCATACAACAAAATATTCTGAGGGCCACCTTAAAAAACAATGGTGGGGAAAGAGTTAAAGGGTTAGTTCATCCAAAAATGAAAATTCTGTCAGTTTTTACTCACCCTCATGTTGTTCCAAACCTCTATGTGTTTATTTGTTCTGCTATACTTAAAGGAAGATATTTGGAAGAATGTTTTAATCAAACAGATCTCAGTCCCCATTGACTGTAGTCAATGGGGACTGAGATCTGTTTGATCAAAACATTCTTCCAAATATCTTCCTTTGTGTTCAGCAGAACAAATAAACACATAGAGGTTTGTAACAACATGAAGGTGAGTAAAAACTGACAGAATTTTCATTTTTGGGTGAACTAACCCTTTAATATTATTAAATAGTATTGCATTGTAAAGAAATTAAAAACCCATTCGGTTACAATCTCAACCAATAAAATTTCGAGAGGTAACATCTATCAATCGTGGGAGTCTATTCTGATTAGTCGATAACTTCTGACAATGTGGCAAAGAGAATTAAATTCTAAAGTAAAAGATTCGTAAGTGCACAGGAACAGTTTTACAGTCCTTCCAGAAAAACGCGGAGTTTTTTTGTGATTGTTGCGGGCAAAAATCCTTGATTACGCGGCCCGTTTTCTTTAAAAATGCGATGGAATATGCGGGATATTTATGCAATTTTATGCGATGAAATTGCGGGAACTTGCAAAAATTGCGGGAACTTGCAAAAACTGCGGTTTGATGAAAAAGAGAAAAAAAGTGATTCCCCCAACATCCTGTTCTCACTAGGCTACTACCTTAATGTAAAGAGTCATTTCTTATTACTTTCTATGATGTAGCAAGCATACTACATCATAGAAAGTGCTGGGAATATTTAATTTCTCATCTTGTTTTATTTTTATTAAATTTTCAAAATCACAGAGTTTGATATCAAGTTCTTGACATTTCTTTTACACATTTTCTGATAAGTATAACATCTGAGAAGTAGCCTAAAACATGAAACAATAATTTGGGGGAAAAAAAAAAAAAAAAAAAAAAAGATAGAGGGCATCACAGACATATTAAATTCCTTTAGCAGAGATACAGATCTTTTGGGCTTTTCGATTTTTTTTTTTTTAAATTTTAAAGACTCAAAATACATTTTAAAGGCTGTTTTGAAATGAGCAAAGTTGGGTTTTGAGTTAGGCTACTCCACTTAGTTTGATGAATATGAAATTTTCCTAATAATAGAAACAATCGATAACATACATTTTTCTTATAGGAAAGTCAAAATCATTTGTATGAAGATGACAAATTTAAGACAAGGTTGCAATTCATTTTAAAACCTAGAAATTGAGACATCTCATTCCAAAAGATTGAAAAATAGGGACATTCAAACAATAAATGCACAATAGACTCTCTTTCACAATTACAAAATCAGCAATGTTTTATTTCAGACTGTAACGAGTGTAAATAAGGTGTGGCCCCTTTAAGAGCTGCGCGCTGAACTGTCTGCAGTGTGTGCGCCTCAAACACCCATGTCGTGTGCGGGTAATTTCTGTTTGATGCTTATTCTTTTATCTTATTTTGTTTATTAAGTAACGATGTGATGGTAGAACGTGTGACAGACAGTTATACGAGTTCGATTTGTGAGATGTCAATCGCCTCCGTGAGTCTTTCTGGCCTCTGCAATAACTTCAGCTGTGAGCTATCCCGTCGCGTAATTGCGTCACTTCATAACGTTCCCATGGAAACCGGAGGAAATGGCTGCTCTTGTATGAAGCAAACGCAACATTTTTCAACTTTCTGCGAAGATATATGTGACTTTTTTTTGCAACGAAAATACGAGGATTATGAAATCATGCAAGCCCCGCATATTTTGCGTGGAAATCGGCATTTTATGCGGCGAAAGTGCGGCTTATTCGAAAAAATGCGGCCCCCGCATAAATATGCGGACTTTGGCTGATTTTGCATTGAATTCAGCGATCGCATAATCGCGTTTTTCTGGAGGGACTGGTTTTAGCATGTTATCTTCTGCTTTTGGCATAGCATACTGTCCACAGGGGACCTGTGATGACCTTTTTTAGTTGATATTAACTCAGTGTGTTAGACATACCTTTCTGTGTGGGCTAGGGGAACCAGGCTGAAAGTCCAGGGCCAAATAGTCCACATTACCACAATTCCTGGGTGCAGGACTGCTGGTACCACTCATCGCTGGGGAGGTAGACACTGGGTTTTGCTGCCGAAAAAAAAAAGAAGTTATTTGAGAAATAGCTTGACTTGAAACTGAAAAAGAACTTGGTACTACTGTAACTACAAGGCACCAATTGCTCACCATTGCCACATAGTTCTCCTCACTGTCCGCAGAATCAGTGCTGGTGATGCTCTGGGTTGAGATGGGCCGACAGTGCTGTGACGAGATGGAGTTCAAAGGCCTGTAAAGAAAGCAAAACTGAATCACTCAGCAGCACGATTAATCGTTAAAAGATCGATTGTCTGAACGCATAATTCGCTTTTTCATTTGAGATGGGTTTAAATTCTGAAAACAAACTTTATAGACATCTCTAACTCATTTTGAGGTGTTTTAATGCAGACTGTTGCGCCACTATTTGCCTTAACTTTAATGCTGTATTTGGTTGCATGGTGTGCATTCCCATGCTGTTGAACAAAAACAAACTGTGGTTGTTTCACTTTACATGTCAGTCAGACGACCTCTTCCTTGTCTTTGGCCGTATAAAGTGACCTTATTCAGAGCAGCGCCATGACAGGTATGAAAGTGAGGCTGTGAGGGATAGACTTACCGTTTTCCAATGGCATCCGCTGTAAAAAGCTGAATAAAGCGGCTAGATTACTTACAATTTTCCACAGCTTATATTGTCGGAAGTTTTTTGTCAACTAAAATTTCTTGGAAAGATATTTTTCCAGTGTTTCATGAGCAGAAAAAAAACTAAAACACATTAAATAACAATACAGCCCATTGAAGAGATGCACGTCTATCCCTCACAGCCTCGCTTTCATTCTCATTAAAAATCAAAGATGGCGCTGCCGTGAATAAGGCGTATAGAGCCCAGACCAAATGTCGTCAGGTAAAAGCTATGCGAGACTACAATATAACTGAGGTATGTAAGGAATAATTGAGTTATTAGAAAAATAATGCACACCCGAGGTGGTAATACGAGTGCAACACGTTACACCTCAGGTGTGTATTATTTTTATAGTAATTCAATGGCCGGAGTCAATTATTCCGCTTATACTACAGTTACCACACCTCAAGACATTGTTCAGATGATTTATTTCAAGACATTTGTCAGGTTTTTGTCTTTAAAACTCTCTTGTGTGTAGGACTACTTTCTGACGCATTTCATCCCAAGACTCCGTTGCTAATTAATTCCAAAACATCATTTTAGAGCTTGAACCACTGATAACAGACTAATGCAGTTATTATCTGAGTAATAGTGAAACTGTAAACGTATCTGTTTCAAGAAAAGCGCAGTTATTACCTCGCTAGAGAGAAACGTCATTAAATTCAAAGTTTTTAAACTATTTTACTGATAAAATCATCAGAGCAGCGCTGACGACACGTTTTGTGTGTGCGTTTGAGTAGGAAAGAGAGGGGGAGGAAGTACGTAATAAAACGTAATTTTGTCACACAAAAAATATGGAAATAATTTGTCATTTTTTCCTTTTTGGGTTTTGCTTCTTTTGCTGTTGTGGGCTGTAAAGACCTTTGAAATCATTTGGCGAATTGATATGGAACTGTAATGCGGTAAAAAACCAGCCTGGAACTACTTTTTCCATAGATTTCCCTGAAAATAATTGCAGTCCTTAGAACGTTTATCAACCCACCAGATTGAAGCATTCAACAGGCCCGTAGTGTAACAACGAATAAAGTTTTCATGTAAATTTTAGCGTGGGAAAACCCCAGGTTAGATTTGCTCTGAAAGTTAGTCTGGCAAAGAGCTCATTCAAGCCCATTTCCAATCCGTCGAAATCGAGGCGCCAATCAGAAACGTTGGGGCGGGCTTTACACGATGACGACAGCGCTGGGATTTTGAAGCAGATTTTGTAGCCTACATTACAAAGATGGATGCCGCCGTCGAACATCACTCGCTCGAATCAGCTATCGCGTCCGTTTTAAACGATTTGAACGTTTCCTTTTTGTTAAACCGAGTTCACATACGTCATCTCTTTCATCGCTCTGATTGGTTTTAGGTCTATCCGTGCTGTCCGTTGGTGACGCCCCTCTGGAAATGATTTCTCTATGACGCTTTGCCTGGCCATAACTCAGAATGGTCTGGTTTTAACCAGGCTATGTATTTATTATTCGATAGTCCACTTTAGACAATACTAACTATAAGTAACTTTTCAACTACATTGTCAACTAACTCTCATTAGAGTAATAGAAGACTGTCAGCTTAATATCTGCTAACACTTTATTTTGTTGTTCCCCCAACAGACATTCAACTGACTATAAGTAACTTGTAGACTACAAGTAAACTTATTCTCCTAACACCTAACCATAACCTAACAGTCTACTGACAGTTTACTATAATATAGTTAGTTTAATAGTTGAAAAGTTACGTGTCGAAATAAAGTGTAACCTTGCAAATCTTAATAATAGTCCTGCAATGTTGTCCTAAACAGGGAGACACACTTACATTGGTCTTGTCCAAGACATGGTGATGGGGCTCTTGAAGGGAAGTTCATCAATGATGCCATTGTTCCTTAAGTCAAGAGGTGTTGGTTTTGCTGCAAACCAAGACAAACAATCACCTTTGTTTTATGTAGAAACTATTTGTGCATAACAATTAATGAGTCTATTCATGTAATCTAGATTTACAGGTTTTAACTGAACACTGTAAATAAACATTGTAAGTTGTGCTTGTGCCGCACACCTGTCCGGTTCGGTTTAAGGTTGCGGTTGATTGGTGGCGGCGTGACGTCACTGAGTTGGCCGGGTCGGAGACATAGTGACGCTGTGCTGCCTTTCCTGGCCGGCAACGTCGCTGAGAATCCTGGGAAGTCAAAATGGTGAGGACCTGGGCTCATGGGAATGTAATTATTTTTAGGACTGTCAGCCAGGGCGGCACTGAGAGGGGAGGAGGACGAGCCGGGATTCATGGGTACATAGTTATCCTCAGAGCCGGCACTATCGGAGCGGGTCAATGGGGCTTTAGTTCTCTGAAAAAAAAGAAAGAAGGACAATCCAGCTTACACAGTTTCCAGATCAGTGGTGGAAACCACTGTGACACACACCATTTGTTCTTGTGTAGTTTGAATAGACTTGTTATTGTCAGTTTGTGACTCTTTGAGTTATGAGGTCACTATCAGGAAATGGTGCCATTTGTGTCTTTATGACTTACTACGGATATAATTAACAGAGTACTGAACTTAATCGCATTATTTAAAGTTAAATTTCGTTATTGTGCCTGATTTTTTTGACAAGAAGGACATTTCAGATCATTCAAATAATGTGACTTGACTTCCAATGGCACTATTTTCTTTATAATGACCCTAAGAAGTAGTAATGTTATAAAAGATGCTTTACCAGGTAAGAGCTGAAGCCATCATTTACAGACTCCACCGACTGACCAGAGTTGTTGAAGTAGACTGGCCTCTGGTGACTGCTGGTCTCAAAAGAAGATCCTGAAACACAGGAGTGAGTAATGTAAAATGTAAAAACAAGTCTGCCATGTGATCAGCAGTTCAGGAGGCGCTACCAAGCACAGGTGTGGGAATCAGGCGAGGATGGTCAAAAGGTCACTTCCTGTTCCTGCAGACACACTATTCTGGCCTTGCTGAGCGCAAACCACTAGGAAATCACTGAATTGTGTCTGCTGTTTTTTTTTTCTCTGCTTATCAGGCCGGAACAAGCCATTCTGGGGCTGCCTGCATGGCTTGAATTTCATTAGCCTCCTAGCAGAGCAGAATAAACCTTGACCAGATTGCCTCTCAGGCGTACACGTTCAGAAAAGAGCAAAAATGAAAGTTAGAGAAGAGGTAAAAACAACATTAATCCAACTGAAAGATTAACTTGGCCATCTGCAAAGTGTCAAGATTGAGCATTTGAGAAGAGGACAAGTCAAGTAGAGAGAAAGGAGAGTGTAGAGCAAAGACAAGAATAAGGACAGGAGACAAAAAGATGACAAGAGATGAGGTTAAGACAAGAGGAGACAACATGAGAAGAGAAAAGACAAGACTAAAATAAAATGAGAGGGCAAAAAAAAGAGGACGAGAAATTACAGAAAGAGAAAAGATGTGATTAGATGAAAAGGAGAGACGATGAGACAAGATGAGAGGAAGGACAAAGCAAGAGCAAAGGAGAGACAAAGGGAGAAAAGACGAGATGAGAAGAGACAAGACGAAAAGAGTAAATTAGAGATGGGACAAAATTAAGATGAGAATAAAACGAGATTAAAACAAATGAGAGGAAAGGAGAGACAAGGAAATGAAAGACGAGATGAGATTAAAATAGAAAAGGAGAGATGAGAGGAGACAAAATGAGACAAGACTAGATTGTTAGATTTAATCTTCTCTTCTTGTCTCAATCTCATCACTCCTTTTCTGTTTTCATTTTATCTTGTTTGTCTTAATCTTGTCTCTTATTGTTTCATTTTGTCTCTCATATCTTTTTTTCTTTTGTCTTGTCTCTTCTCCCATTCTCTCTTTTCCTCTCGCTTTCGTCTCCTCTCATTTTGTCTTTTGTTTACTTTAGTCTTGTCTCGTTTTGTTCTCTTCATGTCACTTTTCGTCTCTCTTCTTGTTTTGGCTCACCAATCTTCTTTGGTCTCAGACACAAAATTAGAGGACAGGTGAGAAAAAAACGAGATAAAACAAAAAGCGAAATTAAGAGAACAAACAAGAAGAAACAAGACAAAAAGAAACAAACAAACAAACCAACAGGATACTAGACAAAATGAAAGGAGATGAGAAAAGAGACAAAACTAAAATAAACAAAAGACAAAAATAGAGTAGATGAGAGAAAAACCAATAGGAGAAGAGACAAGATAGAGATGAGAGGAGACAAAATAATACCAGACTAAAACAAACAGACAAAACGACAGGAGATACTAGACGAAACAAGAAGAAAGGTGAGATTATTGTTTCATTCTCATCTTCTTTCATTTTGTCTCTCATCTCTATTTTTCTCCTTTTGTCTTGTCTCTTCTCCCATTGTCGCTTTCGTCTCCTCTCATTTTGTCTTTTGTTTACTTTAGTCTTGTCTCGTTTTGTCTAGTATCGTTTTGTTCTCTTCATGTCACTTTTCGTCTCTCTTCTTGTTTTGTCTCACCAATCTTCTCTGGTCTCAGACACAAAATGAGAGGACAGGTGAGAAAAAAACGAGATAAACAAAAAGCGAAATTAAGAGAACAAACAAAAAGAAACAGACAAAGCAAAAGGAGACTAGACAAAATGAAAGGAGATGAGAAAAGAGACAAAACTAAAATAAACAAAAGACAAAATTAGAGTAGATGAGAGAAAAACCAATAGGAGAAGAGACAAGATAATACCAGACTAAAACAAACAGACAAAACGACAGGAGATACTAGACGAAACAAGAAGAAAGGTTAGATTATTGTTTTATTCTCATCTTCTTTCATTTTGTCTCTCATCTCTTTTTTTTTCTTTTGTCTTGTCTCTTCTCCCATTGTCTCTCTTTTCCTCTCGCTTTCGTCTCCTCTCATTTTGTCTTGTGTTTACTTTAGTCTTGTCTCGTTTTGTTCTCTTCATGTCACTTTTCGTCTCTCTTCTTGTTTTGTCTCACCAATCTTCTCTGGTCTCAGACACAAAATTAGAGGACAGGTGAGGAAAAAAATGAGATAAAACAAAAAGCGAAATTAAGAGAACAAACAAGAAGAAACAAGACAAAAAGAAACAAACAAACAAACCAACAGGATACTAGACAAAATGAAAGGAGATGAGAAAAGAGACAAAACTAAAATAAACAAAAGACAAAAATAGAGTAGATGAGAGAAAAACCAATAGGAGAAGAGACAAGATAGAGATGAGAGGAGACAAGATAATACCAGACTAAAACAAACAGACAAAATGACAGGAGATACTAGACGAAACAAGAAGAAAGGTGAGATTATTGTTTCATTCTCATCTTCTTTCATTTTGTCTCTCATCTCTATTTTTCTCCTTTTGTCTTGTCTCTTCTCCCATTGTCGCTTTCGTCTCCTCTCATTTTGTCTTTTGTTTACTTTAGTCTTGTCTCGTTTTGTCTAGAATCGTTTTGTTCTCTTCATGTCACTTTTCGTCTCTCTTCTTGTTTTGTCTCACCAATCTTCTCTGGTTGTCCCATTGTCTATCCTTTCCTCTCGCTTTCATCACCTCTCATTTTGTCTTTTAGTCTTGTCTCTTTTTGCCTCGTTTTGTCTAGAATCGGTTTGTCTCGTTTTGTTTTCTTCATGTCACTTTTCGTCTCTCTTCTTGTTTCGTCTCACCAATCTTCTCGTCTCAGACACGAGAGGACAGGAATTAGAGAAGACAGAAATTAAGAGAACAAACAAAAAGAAACAGACAAAACAAAACGAGACTAGACAAAATGAAAGGAGATGAGAAAAGAGACAAAACTAAAATAAACAAAAAACAAAAATAGAGTAGATGAGAGAAAAACCAATAGGAGAAGAGACAAGATAATACCAGACCAAAACAAACAGACAAAACGACAGGAGATACTAGACGAATCAAGAAGAAAGGTGAGATGAGAGGAGACACGACTAATAAAGTCAACAGATTTAATAAAACTGAATCAGATTATGAGTGCCGTACCCCTGTGAAGCTTGATGTTCTCCACCGCCGGCAGTGTGTTCCTCCTCGGGATGACGGACACCGTGGAGACCTCTCCGTTCTGAGGGACGCCCCACCGTGTCTCTGAGCCCTGGCTGGGTTTGGGAGGTCTGGGAGGAGGTGCGTTTGTGGAGTCGGCACTGGACGGCATCAGGGCGTTGTGGTTCTTATCAAACGTGCGCGGGATCTGGTACACAGAGCCAGGATTGCTAGGTGAATCGTAGTTGTCGAGGGCCCGCTGCTCATTGGTTTGAGGGGCTGCTAGAGTGTTATTGGGGGTCTTGTAAGTGTAGACGTCTTCAGAGTCAAGCTCTGATGGCCCTTCGGAGCTGTAACCCCTGGGCACGACATAGCAGGCGTCACGCAAGTCAGTCCGCAAGGGGGCCTGCTGATGCTTGCCGGGTTTGGGTAAACTGTAGAAACCGTGAAGCTGGGCGCCCATCCCGTTCAGACAGTGAGAGAAACCATGAGAGAGTCTCTGAACCGCAGAGTCACTGCCCACCAGAAGACTGCCGCGCGAGGCCTGCGAGAAACTCGCACTCCTATGGGACCAAAACGCCACCCGTTAGTTATTTACGAGAACATGTTTATACAGTCGAGCATTATTTTCTCATTCTGTCGCAGCTCAAACAAATGAATAATCTAATCTATTATAGCCAAACTATTAATAGCTCTTGCTATAAATAACACTGTACTAATTAATCATTCAAATGTTGACGAGGCAAACTACAGTAACGACCAATAGTGATAGAAAGCTTGATATCTAAAAATATTGCATAAGCATATTGCATAATTGTGGTTGGAGTCAATTGTTTTATTACTGATAGCGCAATGATACATGCCAAGCTGTGTGGACATAGTTTATTTCCAGGCTGCAATACAAAAACATTATGGCAACCAACAAAATATCAATAACTGATTATGTTGTAGTCAATGTATGCATTTTCCCGTGAGCTTTTTGTATTTTTTGCATAGTAAAATAAAACCTGTACTCTGTAAAAAAAATGGTATGATCAATAAGTTATGGCAACATGTTTTTACATTGCTTTAACTCATCAAATTTAAAATAAACTCAACTCTTTCAACTCATTTTTTAAGACAGTTTAATGTAATTTAATTTGCAATGAATTAAATATCCAACACTGTAAAAAAATATTTTCAAGATTTGTTATCACAACATTTTTTCTTTTGTCAAATAAACTTAAATAATTTATTTAGTTCAGATAACTTATTATTTTGAGTTTCTGATGATTAAATTAATCTTCTTCATTGTATTAACTCACATTTTCCAGTTAAATCAACTTAAAATTAAGGCAACCAGGTTACTTACTTTTTTAAATTAAACCAACAATATTTTTTACGGTGAAGTTTTTTTTTTTTACAAGTTTGTTTTAAGTTTAGTGTTTTGTTCTTCCCTCACATTAAACTTATATCACATTTAAGGTATTTTTCTCATAATTTGATGGTTTAATCAAACTTGTAGGGTCATTAAAAACAAATATCCCAATCTATTTTGGCCACTACTGACATTGAACTGATCATACTGTAAAAAATATATATATATATTTTCAAGATTTGTTGTCACAACATTTTTTCTCTTGTCAAATCAACTTAAATAATTTATTTACTTCAGATAACTTATTATTTTGAGTTTCTGATGATTAAATCAATCTCCTTTGTATTACCTCACTTTTTCCAGTTCAAATCAACTTAAAATTTTAAGGCAACCAGGTTACTTAATTTTTTAAGTTAAACCAACAGTGTAGGTACTTTACAGTGTAGGTTGAATCTTTTAATATCAATCACAATTTTTTACCGTTTAAAAATCTCATTAATTAAATCAATTAAAAATTCAGTTTAAAAGTCTATTAGCTTTGAGGTCACATGACCTTATTATGTTGCTTAAGCAAGTATAAACATATAAAAAAGTTTTTTTGTTTTTTTACAATTTCCTAAATTTACATGCACATTATTTATCCCACTACAAATGGAAGGTCATATTGAGCACACGGGTATCCCATGCAGCACTGTATCCAGATTTAAGTAAAGAAAAAATAAAAGAGAATGTGTGTAATGTTAAGATTCAACCACTAGAGGCAGTGATTCTCAGTCTTTTATATTACAGATGTATTCTGCCTAGCACAAACTTTTTTTTTTTTTTTTTTACAGTCTGCTGTGTAAATCCATTGAACGGTCAGTCTGTTAGTACATGTCATGATGGAGACTGTTTATGACTCTGTATTGGTAGTGAATGATGAATATCATGCACATTCCTCCAGTAATAGTAAACAGAGTTTGTTTTCTGTCTGCAAGTTTTGAACTTATGGGATAGGTCATATATTTGTGTGAAGAGGCTTAGTTTGTGAATAATAGGTATAGTGAACATGGTTTGATTAGTTGGAGGCATTAACTGTTTGATTTGGCATTATTTCACAGGAATTACAATCAAAGGAAGATAATCAGGGTGAAATGACTGATGAGCACATCCTGTAAGTGAATCCTTCTGCAAACACTACAATACGTCACTGTATTTGTAAGGTCTCATAGGTTTGTTTAAGGTTGAAAACGATTTTGCTTATGACCCAATGACATTAATATCGCTGGAAAATCTTCTTAATTCCCAGTTATAGAAGAGTTAATTCTGCATCTGTACTGGTTTAAAATGCAGGTCATATTCTAAATGTTTATTTTCTATTTTTTGTAATATTGTTTTAATGCCAATTAACCATTATATAATTTCATAATGTGGAAAATTACTATAATGCAGAAAAAAATATACATAGTTATAGTCTAGCCATGGAACTCTTGAGGGCGCAGGCTCATCATTTTTGAGGGAGCAATCTCATAATTACTGCATGGCACAAGCCAAATCCGGCAAATCCGGCAGCCAATGAGATTGCTTGCTCAACATTTAAATAGTCTCTGAATAGTTTCTCTGAAACCCTCCACCTCCCCAGCTCCACCTGCCTAGATTTACTTTGGGGTTCATGTATGCAGCATATCTTATATCTCACAGCAGTGTGTCTGTGTATGTATTAGCATTAGCTAGTCCATACTTGCTCTACAGCTCTAGTCCACCAAGACCAATTACATTAACATTGCGATATTGCGAATTTTTTACATTTTATGGCCAAGTCATTTACTGACAGTTTTTTTGAGATATAGGCATTCAACAAACACTGTATTCTTTCTTTTATATTCCCACCGCCGGAGCATTCCAATCCAGTGTCATCAGCAACTATTTTCTGTCATAATGGTTTATCAATATCCTGCATAATTTTCATGACATTTTTGATGAATGCAGGGTTCTCCAGAGATCATACATCAGTACATGACAGCTCTTTATATGAAGGATGATTTGTCTCGGGATGCTGGTGTGAGTGGAAGAGTCAGATCTATCTGCTGAGATGCTTGAGTGAACCTGAGGAGCATCTCTGAATCATTATTATTATTTGAATTTTAAATATATTTTCTTTTTATTTGTTTTTAACAAATAAACTCAAACCACATGACATTTTACAATCTGAACAAACCTTACCTGTTTAAAAAAAGAGCTGATATTTTAAGGCGTTGAAATCTTTGTTGGTTGCACCACTTTATTTAGCCTTTTTTATTTATTAATAAGCATTTTAATTTTAATACAATACAACTTTTGTATTAATACAAGTTTTTTTTTAAATAATAAATACTAATATAGATTATGCCAAGGTACTTCCAGTACTGGCCACACTATCTGGTTAGATTTTCTGGTCTGTAAGCTATAAGGGGTGTAACATGAGCACATCCCCAGACATCATGGCTCTTACCGTGCACTCTCACTTTTGCGGCTCATGCATTGATGGAGGAAGAGGTAGTCCTGAGGAGCACTGTTAGACAGAGGACTATGGGAGTGGCGTATAGGTATGTCGAATGTGAACAGCATTGGCTGGCTGGAGTGGGCGGGAACAGACGTTTTACGTTCACCAATCAGTGGAGCCAGAGAGCCACCCAGATCATTAGCCAAGGAGCGGGAAATGTGGGTGGTGGATGATCTCTCATCTATAAGGAGGAACAAGAAAAACAAACCTTTAGGAATTTGAACAACCAGTTTTGCTTTCATTTTAGGACACCGTAAGTCACCTCATAACCCTTGGGCAAAACCAAACGCACAAAAACAGCAGGACATTGATCATCTGAACATGAGATTTTGATTTATTGACCCTTGCTTCTTTTTCAGATCTATGAAGTCCAATAACAGAAGACATGTTTCGTTTATTTTCCCGCATTGATCAATGAAGTCAGGAAAAGAAGTCGATTGAGGGTTTTGGGCGGTAATATCCATATTTGTATTCAATATGTTACAAGGGGCAGGAACAGCATCGTACAAAAGACTACAGACATCATCATGAGCTGTATCTGATCGGTATCTGTTTTTCGACGTCATCGCTGCGCTATGTGAACAGCATGGCCTTTGCTTTGGGCTGTTTCTCTGTGACATCCATGATTTGTACTGTATGGGTTCGCTAAAGAAAAATCTCAGGCCTCTGAACTTAAAATAGACCAGGCGATGAGCCAAAACCAGGAAGTGCATATGACCCTCCTCCTACTACCACTCCGATCTGCCCCTGAGAAGGGCAGAGAGTAAGAGGGGAGAGAGAAAGACATGCAGACAAAGAATGAGGAGGTAGAGTGGGCGGAAAAGCAGGTCTACTGCACTTGCACTGTTGTTGAACCGCATACTTGCTGCAAAACTTCTATCCATATTTCCTGGGAATTGGTGGGCACATTTGACACTGAACTTCTTACACGTTTTAAAACTAAGATTACAAAGGCAGCATTCTAACTCGGCTAACATTCGTCACGCAAATATCACTCCTTGAAGTGCATGAGTGACCCGTATTATGCCCCTTTTCACAAGATGTAAAATAAGTCTCTGATGTCCCCAGAATGTGTATGTGAAGTTTCAGCGCAAAATACCCAGCAGATCATTTTTTAAAGCATGTTTAAATTGTCATTTTTTGGGGCTCAGAAAAACGCGCTGTTTTAGTGTGTGCCCTTTAAATGCAAATGAGCTGCTGCTGCCGGCACAGGGGGCGGAGCTTCATGAGCTCGCGCTCAGTCTCTCAGGACAATTTCATGATAATATCAGAAACTCTCAGTAACGGTGTTCATTTCGAGTCGGACAATAACGCCTACAAAGTCAGAGTGCTGTATAGACCAACGCCACTTTTGCGTCATCGAAGGGTAACGCCCCCTTTTGGGGGAAAACACCTCTATACTGTCTATGGGAAAACAAACGGATTCCCATGAGAACAGAACTCGCACTAGATCTGCAAAGTTTCTTGATAGCAAAAATGGCACAAACTTAAAGAAGCTAACGTTACTGAATACGGGGTTACAGAGGTTTCCCTTTGAAATGGTCGAAAACTGGATTAATGACCCCACACAGTGGCCAAATATGGACTATTCAGACATACGTTACCACTATCCCAAGTAAGTAGCCTTTTTATTTATTTATTTATTTATTTATTTATCATTTACACACTCACAGTAGCCTATGACAAACTACTAGACGATGAGGCCATGTCACTTGGATCATATTTAACTTGATTTAAGCTATTGACAGTTTTGTTGTCGACTAGCTATTAGAAAGACTAAGCTGTTAGCAGCTAACGTTACCTTATTAGACTATGTCAATAGCTTAAATCAAGTTAAATATGATCCATTCATCGTCTAGTTTGTCATAATGTGAGTGTTAATGAAAAAAATGCTACGTGCTTACTTGGTGATTAACGTTAGATGTCTGAATAGTCCATATTTGGCCGCTGTGTGGGGTCATTAATCCAGTTTTCGACCATTTCAAAGGGACACCTCTGTAACCCCGTATTCAGTAACGTTAGCTTCTTTAAGTTTGTGCCATTTTTGCTATCAAGAAACTTTGCAGATCTAGTGCGAGTTCTGTTCTCATGGGAATCCGTTTGTTTTCCCATAGACAGTATAGAGGTGTTTTCCCCCAAAAGGGGGCGTTACCCTTCGATGACGCAAAAGTGGCGTTGGTCTATAGAGATGGAACAGGTATAGTTTAGTAGTTTAATTATGGTTATTATAACGTATCTGTCATCTGCTTGTATGTATCCATTAATGATTAATAGCCTAAAGTCTGCTGTTTTTAAGTTCTTAATTTCTTTTCGACTGAAGAAAGAAAGACAGGGACATCTTGGAAGACGTAGGGGTGAATAAATTATCAGCCAAATTTTTTTTAAGTGAACTACTCCTTTAAGGCCGTGTGTCCACCAAAACATTTTTCCACGCGCCTGCCGCCTGGTGTATGAAAGTGTACGAGAGTTGAAAAACCAACTTTGAAAAAAACGCAGCACTGATCACAGTCACTTTTTACCCAGCCATCCAATCACAGTGGAGGAAGGGCGGGATTAATACCACACCGACCAACCATTCTTTCTGTACAACAACAACAACATCAACCAGCAGAGCTAACCAAACAAAATCAATGGAATAAAAATACATTTTAGTATGAAACAAATTATCTGCAAAATCAGTTACAAGTAAACTGTGCTGCGGATATTCTGTATCATAGCAACGAATCATCTAAACTGAAAAAAAAAAACCGTTGCGCTGCCAAAACGCTCGAGCGCCCACAGCTATCGTTTCTATCGTCATCACCGGCGGCCATCTTGTCACAGGCAAGCTGATGTAAGATGAGTGGGCAGCACGAACACAAATACTTTTATCTCGTTGAAATCTTGACGGATTTACAAACGGTTTGGTTTCTTACAAACGTTATTAACGTGGCTATAATTATCTGGATGATTATATTTATACACTTATTATTCATAGGCATGCTATGTCATAACTACATCTCTGACGTTTATAACAAACCAAACCGTTTGAAAATCGGTAGAAAATTGAGCAAGTTATGGTTATTTAAATAGTACATGTACCATTAACACAATGTTACGAGTGAGCGAGCTACCTGTGACAAGATGGCCGCCAGGTGCTGACGCCGACCTCCACTGGCCAGCAGCGTGGACGACATATCTAGCCTTTATATAGATATCTATGGACACACGGCCTAACTTCTTTTGTCTCTGTCGTCAATTTTGTTCCACTGAGTATGTTGCAGTGCATTCTGGGATTGTTATATCTGCCAATTTGGCCAAAATAAGGTCTTACAATGCAGCATAATTTGTCTACAGTTTGAGAAAGCTTTAGATTTGGTGGTGCCTTAAACTTTCCAAGTAGCCGAGCACTGGGTTGGGAGTTTATAGGGTTTCCAAACCTAACAAGAGATGTTACAACAACTCTTCTCAGTTCTGGTTGGTCATTGCGGTCTGAATGCAATGCACATGACAACAGTTCGGTACAAAGGAGAGGAGTGATTTTGTGTCATAAATAAGGTCACATCACTGCCTGGGGCACAGGAAGCGATGCACAAAGAGAGAAGACAGAAGATAGTCTTTCTTTTTTCCTGTCTTTTGAACAACAGAGCACGACCGGGCCTGGCCACAGTGTCAGGGGTCTGCTGAAGGTCTTCAATTAGCCCATTGTTTCTCAGGAGCCCAAAGCTCCCAGGGCTACATGGCGCAGCGCTCCTCTAGTTGCTTCAAAGTGCTCTGTATACGCGCTCAACCATGACAGGGAGCTCAGAGTCCACTAACCGCCATTACTGTATTGATTTGGTGAAGGAGAGCACTCTGTGACCCTCCTCTGAGAGAGGGGAAAGTGAGATAGGGGAATGAGGTGCTCAGATTGAGATGGTTTGCATCCGTCACGTAATACGGACTAATGCAATGAGGTAAAGGCATTTTAGACCAAGGAATGGCACACGGCTGTGTTGTGTTTGATTATCTTGAAGCTAATGGCAAATAGAATGACAAGGTCTAGGGAACCCAACCCATGAAGAATCTATGATTGCTCAAAGATAGAATTAGGATGAGTAATAGGCCTTCTGTTACGCATCGGCTTAAGCAGATAATGCCGGGTTCAGACTACGTGATATGATATCAGCCTGATTTTCGCTTGACGTAGAGCATCGTGGTGATTCATAAATGGCAATGGCCGTCGAGAAGCAATAATCAACCATTTTATCTCGCATAGTGTGTCAGTCAGTCGGCGACGCTTCACGTTGTTTTTAAAAAAAAAATGTAATAAATGAGAAAAAAAAACAGGTGGTTTTTAAAGCTGCGAAAAAAATGGAAGTCACAACATATCTTTTCTTCCCTTTTGTGACGTAAAACTGCGTGAAACAGATTATCAAAAAAGGTAGGGTGGGGAGGGACTCTATTCATCGAGTTTTGATTGGATGGAGGCAGACTTGAGGAAGGGGTTTAAGTCGAATGAATAATTGGCGAAGTCCTGTGTACGTCACCAATATTTTTCACCGTTGTATTTTTATTATGACATTTTGATTGAAACCCTCAACATCAAAAATGCAAAGCATAATAACACGCATTTAGAAAATAGGGGATTTTTTTATTTCATGTCGACTTTAAAAGAAGGAAAACAATTTTAAACCTTTTATATATATGCTTTTGGTTGGAAGCGTGGAGTAGTTATATTTTAACGTTTAAACGTCATTAATATTTTTATTTATTGCTTATTCAAAGAGCCATACAGGTAAATGTTAAATACTCTTCAGTATTTCAATCAAAACCTTAAAGCACCATTTTTGGTAACTATTTTGGTAACCAATATGCAGACAAGAAGCAAAAACACGTCCAGTCTTGCAGTATGAGCAGAAATGTGAATATTAAATAACACATTCAGGCATTTCTTGGAAAAAAAAAGTTAATAAAACCATATTTTGAAACCTTAATGAAACCTTGTCCATAGAACTAAAAGTCCACATAAGACCACATTCAAAAAGCATTTTATTCCATAACTTAAATTTGGAGATTTTATATCTAATAAATTGTATATATATATATATATATACTGTATATACACACACACAAGAACCAATGAGGTTCATTCTCGTGTTATGCAGCACGTTTGAGCTTCAGCAAGAACCAATGAGGTTTGTTCTTGTGCGTCAAGCAGGT